TTATTATTACTATTATTATTATTATTATTATTATTATTATTATTATTATTATTATTATTATTATTATTATTATTATTATTATTATTATTATTATTATTATTATTATTATTATTAGTAGTAGTAGTAGTAGTAGTAGTAATAGTACTCTCAAGTTTATGCAAAGGGAACGCTTTGAAATTTTGAAAGCCATCTATCTACGTGCGCGATAACTGCTTCGATCTTATCGTACCTGTATTTTATGACTGAATTAATTTTAACAAAATTGTATTAAAAGGAACAATGACATTTAATATAATACTATGAAGAATGCAAAATTAGCTCATAATTTTAAAACTGGACATTATGCATCCCTAAAGTAGCCAATAATTTGAAATGATACAGGTGGAGTGCAATAAACATCAAATTATCATCGGAAATTATTTGAATGGCGAAACAGAACGGATAGTTGTAGTGAAATGGGAACAATTAACAAGGATAGTAATCTAGGACAGTAATCGGGTAGGTTATTTCAACTGCTAAAAGTGATATGGATAATATGGAAATGTGAATAACCAAATCCAACAATTAAATCAGTCAGTTTTCATTCAATAATCTAACCTTATCCGACGCTATTCTGTTATAATAATATTTATAATTTGTCATAAATTCGAAATATTGCAATTATACGTTCATGTATAGAGAAGTATTGTTGCAACAAACCATAAAGTGATGCAAGATTTGACAGAATGTCACATCACAAAAACTCTGTCAATTTGAATCGTTGTATGATGAAGTGATCCGTTGCTAATACTCTGCAAGGCTTCCTTGGAATTATTTAATAATTTTAATTTGAAAATCTTTTGGGAAGAATTATTTTTATCATTTATCATTCTGATCTCATTCATTTCTCATTTTTATATTAAACTAAACGATTAAATAAATGATTAATGATAGAGATTGAGATGAGAAATTTTTAATTCTTTCTGCATAACTCTCCATTTCATTGCAAAGAATCTTAACATTCCTGTTCGCTTCAATCCATCCACATTCCTAAAATCATTATAGTTTTTATTTCATATATCATTATCCATTCCCTTGCCCATACTCTGCCATTTATGTTATATATATATATATAAAATGGACGAAATGCATTGTAAGAATGGCGGAATATGACAGGAATCTGAAAAAAAAAAAAAATCAATTAAATCTTGTTTATTATGAGCAATATTAGTAATAATTTGATATCAAATTACTAATTTTGATATTTTACAAGTTGGATTTTTCCTTCCAGTTAAATTTTTTTTTCTGAAAATATATTTGTTTATTACAATCTACGATTGATTGATAAGTTAGTGACAATAGTAAGAGATAAGCCCTTAATTACTCAATCACAAGATAACTGAAGTGAGATGACGACTTGGTAGTCTCAGATGCTAGCTTATTTTGGAAACTTATAGATAGTTTACTTTGCCTATGCTTTTGATTCATTCATTGACCGAAGAGTGGTAAAATATCGGATGTATGACTGATTAACAGCATGAAAAATGGAATAAATGATCATTGGTATAAGGTTTATGTCAAATTTTTATCATTCAATTTTTTCAATTTAGGCATATTTGAGGGAAGGAAAATTTTTAGATTCGTTTTGTTGCATTTCTATATTTTCCACCAATGTATCACAGATCCCGCAGTTTTACTAATAATTCTGGATAAACATTTGAAACATTTTTGTTATTTTTTAGCACTTAATAGCATATCATTAATGTTGTTGCAACGATACTAAATTTGATAATAAACAGAAGAACGGATGGAAGTACACGCACTGAAATACATTTCTAAAATACTTCATGAAATAAATTTCTTGATATATCATTTATGTTTCATAGAAGACACTTCCATTAGCTCCATTTGTTGGTGATTAAACTGAAAGGTTGTTCGAACTTAAGTTTGCACTTTCAAATGAATTATTTTACCTTTCCATGGAAATAGATAATGGAAATAACATCTACATAGCCGTAATGCAGCACTTTTTGCAGGTTAATTGGAGGTTTAAAATGTCCTGGCCTGTGCAATTCGAATTCTCTTGGATAAGATTCCAAATTAGATTGAATTTTTTAAAAAACCTTTGGCAGTATATGGAAAGCTGAAATAATCCCCACAGGGATTTCCCGACAAATCTGAAAAGCTTCAGCCTAATAATGCAACAGTGGAACAGATTTTCAGGACGATTGAAACCATGTATACTACTTCATTAAGCATTCCTTATAAATCTAATATCTCCTATCCTTTTCGGATTATGTGCTTTTTACAGCAATACTCACGTCACATATCCGGCTGTGTAAACCAGTTCGTTGTTCAACCTTTAAAGCATATACGTATTAATGAAGCATACCATCAGAATGTCACCAATATCTTATTGACAGCTATAAAGAAAGCACAATAACCGATGTAACATACTTCAGAACTTAACTGATTAAACAATAAGAAACTTATATCCCTAAACTATAATACTACCTCCTATTCTAAATTCGTACATAGCTAACCGATTACAAATTCGATCTTCCTTTACCATTAAATATATTCTGCTTTCACAAATGTATATCATCGTTGATTGATGTATGCTCTAACTTTATCAGACACGGAAAAAAAACAAACAAAAGAACCATTTTTTGCGGGGAGCACAATGAATCAGATCAGACTCGCTTAATCAATATATATGTTGCATGAACATTTTAAAAAATGTCAATGGAAGTCAGTAAGAATTCAATAACAGAAAAAAAAGTGAAAATTAGTCTGCACAAAACCCAAAAAGAAAATGAAATCCGTATAGCTCAAGTAAAATTAGAGATATTGTAAGGTGGAACAACGATGAAAAAAAAAAAACCATGAATTCAACATGTGTTCGCCATGGGGAAATAACATATGCACACAAAGTTCAAAGTTGTTAGATTAGGAAATTTCTAAAAACCTAAACTGTCTAATGCATCAAAAAAGATAAATAAGGTGTCGAAATGTGAGAAACAAGCTATTTCAATACGAAATATATTAAAGAAAGGCGAAATGAAAACAATCGCAAATGCAACTGTTAGTGTAGATTACCCATAATCCTAGGTCAGATAAAATAAAAAGACCTAACAAATCTCAGGCAACATGCGAATTTTCTTGCATCTCTACCTAAATGTTCAAATCAATTAGTGATATAATATGGAAGGAAAAGACAAGTATTGAAAGCAATTTTAACAGGAATAAAAACAGAAGAAATGAAAAGACAAGCATCTGATACGATGAATAGCAGTCAAAGTTATGCTAATAATACATCGCACGGCGTGTAACATTAAACATTTTTGACAAATTTTTTTCTCAGGAGCTTATGCTGTCGCGCTATAGCATACCCAGTAAAATCTTTCCTTAAAATTAAGTTCAGTTCCACAGTGCCAATATTAAATTAAGGGATATCCACCTAGCCAACAAAATACAATAACGAAATCCTACGGAAATATAGAATCGAGCTTTCCAAATTCTTTCAATGAAAGAATTGAATTTCAGCCATCAAAATTGAACCAAGAACGGAAATATTTTTTTTTTTCAAGAACGGAAATATTTTCCCAGGTAGTAAATAACTGAGTAATTATCCACTGAAAACAGTAGCATTATGCTTTGCAAGAAATAAATAGACTACACAAAGTCAAGTGATCCTGCAATAGGAGAAAAGGAATAAGCAACACGAATGATGCATATTACTTATACGTAGGTTCTAACCTAAGTTAACATCTCTTGCAATGATACGTCACTATGAATTATGAAGACTGAAATCCCAAGCATTCCTTAAGAATTAATTTTAAGATTTCAACAATTACAAGTGACTAAAATTCACAGGAACAGTAAGAGGATATTCCACAGTGAACATGAACATCCTAAGGATTAAATTGGATTCAGAACCTAAAAAATGGCTGTGAACAGTTGGTAGTAGCATTCCAAGCAATAAAAGCAACAGACAATATTGCACAGATTTCTCAAAATTCACAACATATATAATAAAACAAGTAACTTTTTACGTTATCCCTGAGAGATAACATATTCCGACCAACCAAAATTGCAAGAAAACATCATATTTTCCGATAAAACTCATCCCATCCTCCAATGAATAAATTTTACATGCTCAGGATTCTAGCTAATTAAAATTAAAAAAAGTAGAACTACCACATATCCTCAAACAGGATAAAATAAACCAAAAAAAAAAAAAATGGAAATATATCTGAATTTTTCTGTGTACTGAAAAATAGCACAAATAAAGGAATTGATTTTATTTATCCTGAAAGATATAAAGTCGATTGGTTGCTGCCAGTGCGATGATATTTTGTTTAGGATGCCAAGCAGTATGCAGAACTTTCTTCGTGAAATCAAGACTATCCGCGCTCACATCTTCATCTGCTTGCGTTTCCGCTGCTCCAGCATGGACACGTTTCTTGTTCACACGCGCTGCACCTGCTGTTAACACTCGACGAGTTGGTAAACGTATGTGAGATTTTTCGATATGAGCCTATAATTTAAGTCAAGTAACAGAACAACATAGGAGACAAAGAAGAAATTTACAAATTATTAATAAGAAAAAATTTTCCAAGTAAATTTCTGTCGAAAAAAAAAACTGCGATTATGATAATTTACCTCATACGTTTTGGCAACACTTGCATCAACACCTCTTTTGAATGATCGAAAGAAGTTGTTATATGATCCGGTCAAGATATGGCTGAAAATTAATGGTGATAACTCGCTGTTTCATTAAATTTCTCAAAAATTGATAGGGAGAAAAAAGAAAAACGTAAACAGAAAATAAAACGACTGAACCTCTTTTGAAATACAAATGGCTTAAAGAATCAAATTAAATGAAAATTCGCCATTAATAAAAGTTTAAATCCAGTTAAATCATCTTTTTCAAAGTGGGTACTTTTTATTTTGATTTAAGAGGAAACTAGTTCCTCACAGTGATATTTAAGAAACTCAAATTAATTTTACATTAAGAAACTCACAATTAATTTTCAGTTTTAAATATCATAGCCAAGTCATGCTTTTCAGTTCTCTCTTCTCGTCTAACCTCAGCGGCCAATTTTGTATTTCATGGGTAAACACAGCAAAACACTGCTTATCAATGTTTATAAATATTAATCATTAAAATCCAAACTACTGCATCACTCCCAAAAGTATGTCGATGCAAAATCTAGTAAATATTTGAAAGACTTTAACTAAAAAAACCTACATATTTATCATCCAGTACGTATTTTACGGACTGAAAGCTAGTTTTTCTATACCACTGAGTGTTCTGCAGTTGAAACATTCAGTAATTACGAAGCAAAAATATATCCAAAGCATAAGGGTTTATAAGTTTCGGTCATTCGGTCATATTCCTGAACGGAAGTAGAAGTAACTTAAGAACTGGAACACTCAATAAATTTTTAGTAGCTCACTTGTCATCGCCACTCCAATCGACTTCGAATTTGTCGAAAATGGAATCATTCTCATACAGTGTGCATAATTTTGAGCGTAAATAGTCATGGACAGGATAAGTTTCCACTGGTCCAGACTCCATATTTATATCCCAGACCTGTTAAAAGAAAAAAGTTTCATGTAATTAATAAAAGTCAAAAAGAAGAACTTAAAAAAGTTGACTGATGTAGCTGTTCGAAAAATAAGGAAATATATACTTTAGCGGTTAAGTAATCTCTTGTGAGCAAATATCTTCCGTTGTGAGAAAATTTCACGTCGGACACCGAAGCGATAATTTCTGAGAAAAATGAGCGATTGGCCGGATCTTCCGATTCTTCAAATACTGAAACATGACGAATGTGATTTACATGAGGTAAAAAGATGAAATTTGCCATACGTACAAATAAAGCATCACCGTCAATATATAAATCCTTTATCATCAAAAATCTAGCCAGAAGTAGCTGAGCTGAAACACTGGCATGGACCTAAAATGATTCTTCCTAAAAATACAAACATAGTAAAAAAAGGAATCACTTACATTTGGCATGAATATCGCATAGTGCACGATCGCGCATATCACACAAGCGAATCGACCCTTTGGAGGAGCTATATACGAACCAGTGGCACTGAGTTGGATGAAATTCAGCGGCAGTGATTACTTCTGTTAACTCTTCCATATTCACTGGCTTAATATCCACAATATCTGAAGAGATCATTCATCATTACTAAAATCGTCATAAAAATATTCTTTTTTGCTGCATTGTTGTGTTCACGCAACATGTAGAAATTTTGCATAATGGAACTAACTGAAGCTCTCATTGGTAATCTCAAGATGCCATATATTTACTCGTAAATCATCAGCTGATAAAAATATCTCCTGAAATGAACAAGTGATTGAGGAAGAACATATTCAGAAACATTGGAAAGCAAGTAATTAAGACTAAGAAAGACAAAAAAACTGTACCTGATCAGAATTGACGCTAATAGAATTGACGTGATAAGTATGGGCATTACCATAAACCCGTCGAGGCGATGCTTCGACTATTAATTCCATGGGTACTAATTTGGGCAACTTCAATTGCCCACTAAAGCCTGAAAATACGTGAGAGATTTCTTCTAATACATGTGAGTAAAGGAAAACAATGACACTAAATGCCACCAAATTTTATAAGAGATATTATACCTTGAGGACAGATATAGCAACCACTTTGTTTGTTTGGCATATTTGGAGAGCAACTGCATGATAAACTTTTAGATATTAACAAAATGTAGGAAAAAATGAAATAGAGCTGAACTTTTGTCTGAGTAGAAAGTATTACTTTATCAGTAACATACCCAGAAGAAAAAGAGGTAAAATTTAAATTCTTTTCTTTATTACGACCGATATACTCACTTCGTTTACCTACGGTTGTGCCATCGGCGTTTCTTGCTAAATTCCAATCACCATCGGCGACTTTCTTTTCCCTTTCAGAAATTTTCCATAACTTGATCGTTTTATCTGCAAAACGCTTTTTAGGTTTTCATAAAGCACAGGAAAAATTAAAATAGAGCTGGATTCCAGTTTATAATTATTGGAAAAGATTTATTTAATTTTCAAACGATTACACACCATTAGTAGATAAAATAAAGTTAGCAGCATTTTTCCTTTTTAGCCATTTAATCTGATTGATTTTCTCCTCAATTTCAAGAGATTTCAAATAGTCAAATTCCGGTTCATGCGATTGGAAAGTCGAGTAGACGTTGTAGTCAGTTGAACGTTGACCGTTTATAAATTTTCCCTATAAAAATGCATAAATATAGACAAATGCAGTTGCTTTATAACAAATGCTTCGTTTATGTCAACCAAGAATTCCGGGATAATTATTAATAAATAATTACTACTGGAATAATTATTAGTAAATCTATAAAAATGATTCAATCGGGAGTAACGTCCCTTGTCAGAGATGTAATGAATGCAGAATAAAGTTATGTATTAACTTTCACGGGTAACTCATGAATCACACTAATTACTTTAAGTGATGAGTGCGGTAATCAACCCGTCTCTCCAACCAATAAATTTGCACCTCGTTCTTTAAAGCCTTGAGATACAATCTCTTCCTTGCTTCTATGCTGTCTGACCACTGTTGCTCCCGCAATGCAGTTTGGATTTATAAGAAATGAAAGTTTTAGAACTTAAAAATGATACAAAAGAAAAAATGCAATCAGTTAAAACCTACACTTTGATCACGTTGAAATATCACAACCCGTCCTCCTTTGTCACCCGTTGCTAGGAATTCACCATCGTGGGAAAATTCAACACAGGATATAATATCTGCTAAAATGGATAGATTACTTTAAAGAATAGTTAACTTGTAGCACAGCAAACAAAAACAATATCATAAGGGAACTGAAACGCTGGATCACTTTCCACAAAACTTTCAGAAGAAAGCGTGAGAAAACCTTGTTTCGAAATCATATTAAAAGGAAAATCAAAAGCGCAAAGTAAAAACACAATAAATAATTACAAAAGCAACACAAGAAAGAAAAAAGCGACAGATGAAAACAAATGTTGAAGCACGACTTCACGACACGATATGTTTCCAAGATGCCACATGTGGAAACGATGTCATGGAAAGCCGATTACACGCTATAAGATCTCACCGTCGCTTGTAATACCTCCATCAGGCTCGATATTTCCTTTAACTTGGGAGAAATGCCAGTGGATTCCATCGTCATCTGATGTGCCGTCACTTTCTGTAACATCCATTGATGTACATGCCTGATGATCGTCTACATCCATGTTCCCTCTCCAAACTTTTTTTTCAACGATCTGAAATAACTAGATAAAAGACTTGGTTTAACAGAATAAATTAACATCCATATTATTCGGTTAGGCTTGTTATTGTAATCTGTGAAAAAAAAAAGGAACAAATCTTCTCCCATAGAAAAAATCTCTGAAAGAAAAAATTAGATCCCTTCCTACTGATGAATCTCCAGATTACTTCGCATATGGATCACTAAAGTAGTATCTTTCTGTTTGTCTTATTCAACCGAGCCTTTAATTTTTCTAAAAAAAAACATCCTTTAGCAAGATTTAACAAACAATTGCCACCACTAATACAAGGTTTTTTTTTCCCCACAGCATAAGTAAAGCGATGCATCATTACTGGTAATGAAAGACTTTCTATAAAACTCGATATATGAGTGTAAGCTTTGATACAGTATGTGAGTCTAATATCACTGGTAGTAAAGTCGCTACAAAAATATAACTGAAGAATTTTAGCAATTGATACGAGAAGAAATAAGAAAGGAAAGGAAAAGATTAAGGAGAGCGCATACTTGCGATAAATCTTCCAAGAGATCATTTTTTCAATCTTAAAAAAGTATGTACTGTTAGCATTAAAATAAAATTTCATACATCGTATTAGCTGTGTTAAAGAATATTTCGAGAAGAAAACTGATAAAAAGTTTACATCCAAACATACATCTTCAAAATCTTCCATCTCTCAAATTTACATCACAAATTTTCAAATTCATATAAGGAAACTTCCTAAGAGTTTCTCAATAACATCCCAGTCCCCGGGAATGCCTCAAAACCTCAAAATGCAACAAAACATTTCAAAAACTCACAACTACAACTGCAAAACAACCGCCCCACCCTCCTACGATCAACGACTGATTGCGACCGAGGAGCAAAGTTCACCATTTTGATTAAGAGGCGTTGCCCCGTAATGCAACTCTTCAGATCTTGACTGATTCGCCGTATTTTTAAATCATTTTTACTCAACATCTGTTGAAATTTCTTCGTTCACATCTATATATGAAACATGTGCAAACAATTGAACTCTCCTAATTTGCATACGAATTTCATTTACCTACTTGATTTCTTAGTAGAATATGTGCTTACTCTGATATAAATCCATCCTCTAACTGGGCTACTTTTCAAAGCATAAATTGCGAACATTTGGAAAGTGTACAAGAGAATGAACAATTTTAGAGTTTTTATGATCATTTCATAGAATTGATTTATTGTAGGATATTTATCTTTTCTTCCTTTTCTTCTTTTGCATCTTTTTCCTATCTATAACACAAAGCTGCTAAACCTTAAATGATTACTATCGCCAATTTTGTTGTATCAAAGTTTGTCCTCTTTCTACAGTAGTCTATAACTTTAATCAATTCAAACGCATGCCTTATCAAGAATATGAAATAAAGGAAGAAATGCTTCTTTCATCATTTATTTCAAGATATTCCACGATACTAATTCGAGCAAATATGTTCAAATATGCCTAAAAAAAGGTGCATATCGTTGAATTCTATTGAAATTAATTAAAAAGTTGAAAAAACTTGTTGCAATTAATACAGTTTCTTGTTAAAAAGTGTGATAAAATAACTAACCCTATTGATTCGCCTCAGAATCGCCGGCGCTATCCTCATTCACATTCGTTCCCGTGACTAATTCAATTCCAGTTTTGCTAATTTAATCTAAATTCAAATTTTAGATTTGCAAATTTTCGTCAAGCGTATATGATCAAAATGAGAACATTTTCTTCGTGGACGTTTTAAATTTATTTATCAGACTTTTTAGATATACTTCGTATTAACTCCTTAACCTTTAATTATAATAGGAAAAAAATGAAATCTCCCCTGTATCCGATACTTGTCTCTGTCCATTGATTTTGTCTGATCGTATAAATTTAAGACAGTGACCAACTGATCAAGAACTAAGACACAAATCTACATCTTATTTTGTGTTTTTGTCAATGGGTTAGCCAGGTTAATTACCTGTGTTTATCTGTCTAAATCTTGATTAGGCCAGTCGTGGTTCCAAGTAATCTTATTGAGTCAAATATGAATTTCAGGAATGAAAAAGAAAAAGACGATAAAATGGTCGGCGGGAAAGGAATGGAATGCCGCGAGAAGGAAACTAAAAAGTGTTACAAATATGCAAGCGTTGCTGAATCGATCGCTAATGACCAGTGGGATGACCAGCAAGCTTGTGAGGTTAGGGACACCGTGTATTCCTGCGCTGCTTCCATTTTTATTCTATAATCCCTTTCAACTTATATTCCTCCCTCTCACTAGTATGTCATGTCATGACGTGTCACATCAAGATGAGGACTCATTCGAATCATATTGAAATGGAAATTTGTTGGTTTTGATATTATCAGTATGCTTCATGCTAAGCTTTTCATATCAGTAAATAATTTTTCATGTTGAACTTTTATATTATATTATCATGTGATTTTTTTAAGTTGTATTTGCTCAACTATGTTACCTATTATATTCATCGTTAATTAACTTAATTTTCACATAAATATTGATATCTTTAGCTCTCAAAATAAGTAAAACAGCGCAAATTTAAAATTTCTTTTCAAAAGTTCTGAGAAGGAATCAAATTACTGGAAAAATTCAACCGAGTTAATTTCCTAATTAAATATGATGAGAATGGATGGGTTACTTTTAATGTATTTTCCGCTAAAGCAACTGCAATAACAAGAATGATATGTACTGAGATCTTCAATCACTACTCAAATGTTTCATTATTAGCTGGTGCACTCAAAATTTCACGTTCCCGCTGAGATACGTATTGTTCACTTGAATTAAAATCAAGAATATTAACACCGTATAATGGAGGAGTGATTTAAAGTGTTTAGTCTCATTTCATATTCGTTTTTTTTTATATCCTGTAAACCACGAATATATTATCGAACAACGACG